ATCATCCACTTGTGGGAACCGGGGTTTTCGACGTTCCTTTGCGTCTAAGGATTGAAGCACTGTACTAATGAGACTCACCCAGTCAGATCGGAGAAGCTATCCAGTGCTTCTTAGATTCATATGCTCCTATCTTATATGAAAATTTCGTGGTATTTACAGATATAGTGAATCTTAACCACCGCAAGCCTCGTCTTAGCACTATTTTCCCATCCATATACAGTTGTGTTTGACACGAATCCGGTATATTTTGTGCAACGGTCTGTAAAGGAAATTCAAAGGCAGTTGGTTTATCCCACTAAATGTGCAGTAAACAATGCTCATCAGTTGAAGTACCATGATGAGACAACGTTAAACGTAAACATTCGGCCCGGTATCTTCGGGACAACAGAAACCCGGGCAACTATAGAANCTTGTTTCAAAGTCAGTTCCTAACCGTAAAATATCTACCGCCAAACTGGTATCTCCAATGTTTAGTACGAATTGTTAATAAAGCAAATATATGTGGTCCCAAAATTCAGGGTTAGGTTGCTTCTTTGAACTCTCTGTGGGATGATCACGGACCGATCCTATCGAACCCCGTCATCGGTGATCAGTCGTTCTATAAGCGCACAATCGGGGCACCCGCTCGACAATAATTGAAATACGTTCGCACCCCCTCCACCTGCGTGGATTGTTTAGAAAAAAAAATAAAAACAGGGAACTTACTGTGTTAATTAACTGTTTCACTTCTTCCCTTTTCAGGTAAGTTTGCGGATCGAAGTTTTCCACTTTTTGTGGGATGCAGCTTTTGGTCACGTACGCCTCAACTTCAAGCACTACAAAGAACGTAAAACAAGCATAATAGTATGAGCACAGTAGCAATCGATTCATCTCAGTACTCAGTTTCAGTACTGGACAGGTAAATGTTACTACTTTCAACTTCCAAAATCAGTGACTGCATGATGTGATGATGAGCTATGCATAATGATCTAGCTTACATTCAACAAGGTTCATTCTTAGCTCGACCAGGATGCGTGTATTCTTGCTGCTTTGCTCGTTATTATTTACAGTAACATCTGCTGCTTTATGCGAAAAATAGTTGAGGTACATGAATATGTGCTCGAAAACGTAGTGGTTATTATGCTTCAGGAAAGGATGGGTTAAATTCACACATTGATGACTGTTGCTTGACTTGGTCTGATATCTTTCAAAGTGATATGAACGTGGATCTCATTGGTAAATAGGTGGCGAAATGGTTAACCTTTTCGATCAATTGTGCTGTAGCTACTATCATTTTTTGTTTCATTTTATTAGCACAGGAATTAACTACATCGTCTTTGGATGAAAGAACCCTCCCTCTTTTGAGGTAAATTTCTTCGTTCCTGCTGACGAGCCTGCTCCAGGCATGCGAATGTTTGCCTCCTCTTTCCCAGTACAGTGGATAATAGACATAGATCAATCCTTGTGCATCGCGGCTGGCAATTACTTTCGTTTCCATTTTATGTGCAGGGCCTGGAATTGAGCCGTACTTTGTTACAACAGATCATCATTATGCAAAGTTACAGTGGAAAAACCCGTTCTACACTTTGAATTAATTGGATGAATTTTTAAGATCACACGCTATCCTATTGGCCAACGGTTTTGAAACGTTATACTGTATCGCGCAGAATCATCAGTATCTGAATTCGCCGATTTTGTGAGAAATCACTAAATACGATGACGATGACGGTGCCCAAGGACACCAAACTGAACGCTATGCAGGCTGGCGCGTCCAGCACAGGTGGCGTTACGTCCTTTTTCTATCTCAAGTACGCTCATCGGGAAACTCAATGAGCTCAAGAGCTTTTTACCGCGGAAGGTCATTGAAAATACAGGAGTGATTCTACTCCAAAATAAAGTTAGCTGCATCCCCATATTGAGAACAGTCGTGCAACTTGATGCATTAGACGTCTTCCGAGGTCGCGGAGTGGTTGATTTGTCAAAAGAAAATGGTGTAGAAACACCCATCATTTTTTTCAGTTTTGAACTTCTAAAATAAATTGTATTTTTCTTTATTGTAAGTCCCAATTTCTCAAACGTTTACGATATATAACACTAGCTAAAATTTACATTGCTCCCGACACACCGTACAACTTACAATAGGTTTAGACCTGTATCTATGCATTGAGGCTGGCAATTTCAATTGTTTTGATATCTCTTTTCAAATATTTCTAGGCCTGACAAATCTCGCAAATGTTTTCATCCGGCCCGATTTATCGATTGATGGGATTTTTGTATACACCCCAAAGATCTTTTCCATTGACAATTGAGCTCCCTTAGGCAACTCGGATTGCTGCTCTTTTAGTTTACATCCAAAATTTACGGTAAAAGTATTTTTAACACCAATTGAACCGTTTGTTGTGTAACAGAATTTAGCGATCAATGTTTCATCGATAACAACATCGTATCCTGAAACTGATTGCGCAACCATTTATATCCATAAAAAGAAATATGAGCGATCACTACTCAATTCCTCAGAGACGCAAATGATCACGAAACCTTCGGAAACATTGCACAATTGAAAAGATACTACTGCTGTGAAGCCACGAAAGTTCGGTATGTGGGTGAGTGAGTTCAGAAATCAGATCTCAAGTCGACTGATTTTTCAATAGTCTCATTTGAAACAGATAAACTGCATGCAGTTGACCATCATACAACTTAGGACCGGTTCATCAATTAAACTCACACATATATCCCGGTGGTCCCGGCATTTTTGTTCCTAGGGAGGAAAACATTGCACCATGGGAATAAGGGTGAAAACAGCTTAAGAAGCGCCCTTAATAATTTAAGATAGGCATAAGGATGTGTGATTATGAACAGGCAGAATCTCTGTGAGTCCAAACATGGTGCCAACACCACAACACTGATAACAATTTCACCGTATACGGGATTGTGATACAAACCACAGTAAAATGGAGGTTGACATTTAAATAGAGATTATTTTTTATATTCAGCCGATTCTCTTTACACCACAGAAAGGGTTTCAAATCCAAAACTGCATATTCAAAAAGAAGGATCCACGTGTAAATATTCCACTGAACCATTTACTATTTATCATTTATTATTTCAACACGTAATCAATTACAGAGAACCGGCAAATGTGCCACAACATATGAACAGAAAGAAATCTGAAGAATGTGTTCATAGTTTGTGTGGGCATGTTACTTCCCGGTTGCTCTGGCCGAGGAAAGAAGGATAACCTCGGGGTCCCCACCAGAAGCCTTTGGCTAGAAAGCTAGACCTGCAAGACAACAGGGCGAAGCTCTGAGTGAGCAGCCCATTGGGGTCCGGTGTCCAGTTCATCGAATCATACGCCCTTCGGACGGGGTCAACGTTCGAGGTGCCCAATACACCTTAATGCCCGATTGAGTCTGTGACCAATGCCGCAACAAGGACGGTGTGCGTGTGATTCATACCCCTTTTCTTGTTTGGTTTGGAATCAGAGTGTTTGGTCAACTCCCTTAGGTGAACTGTCAATGGTTCACCAACCCGGTTATAGCTCCAGATGTCGACTTTTCGTCCTCTCACTTTGGTTGGAAAACGCCTCCGCCACGGGAAGGCAGTTTGTAGGGATTTTTCAACAGAGGTTTATTTGAGACACTTGGGCACATAGGAGCATTTCGCGAGGTGTAAGCGAATGGTGATCAGCCGCAATCCTAGACACCCATCCCGACCATACTATGCATGCTAACTAACATATGTTTATGACTCGAAGCATCCGAAGCAACACAGAGGCATTCCTGTAAGCAAAATATTCATTGCACAGTTTTGTTGGCTCCTCAATTCTGCTTATCCGGTATTCCTCTGCTACTGTTGTCAGTTCACCAAAATTTATTCGATCCAAGCTGACTCTCTCTTCATGTCATTTCGGATTAGATACTGCCAAATTAACAAACGTGCCGGTTTTCCCCATGCTACCGTAATTGGGGACCAGACTGGATTGTATTACGAATGTAACATCTGCGACTAACAAGGGAATCAGAAAAGGTCACTCATTTTGCATCTGACGTTCCACGACGGAGTTTGGCGGTGTCACTGAAAGCATGGTTGTGAAAGAGTGTTTCTTGGTCAGACACTACTGCGCAATAGGCAACCTAGCATCAACAATTTTGTCAAGACCAATCTATGCTGGCTTGAACAGTGTGAAATTTGACGTTCTTTGCTTTGGGAGAATCAAAGATGGCGGACATGATCCGTCTAGGCGCCCCCTGACAACGCTCTGCGATTATAAACTATCTACTCATGAGTAGTATATCATACAAAATTACATTAATCTGATACTAACGCGAATGAGAAAGAAAAATGGATGAAAACCGACAATAATAATAATACGATTATGATCCTGCGTTTCATTTTCTATTTCGATTTTTTATGATGTTTGTCTCGAGAACATTATTCTGACGAAATTAACTTTTCACTAAGCGCACAGGCCAATCTCGTTACCATCCATTGTAATCAGGAGTCTGCATCCGATCCCCACAAGTGAGATCCCTTTGTAATCTGTTCATCTGCTGATCGAACATAACCTTCGCTAGTCATGTGGTTTACAGAACGAGGCGGATGAATCAAGTTATTATCACAGCCAGGTAGAGCTTTCGATTGCGCATCCAGGTTGACATACGCTCAGTGTACTGATGAATTTGTTGTACCAGCTCAGGTTGCGGCTGGGTCGTTCTACGTGATCCTGTGATCCTGATCACTGTGACATCTCCACGACGATGACCCAGGCTTACGGGAGGTGATGAACCAACCATTTGCTATCTTATACTGAACATGATCTGAACCGCGTAACTTTCAGAGCAGTGGGACTCTATTTATGCCACTGCAAACATCTATTGTCGCGACGTGCCGATCCATTTAAATTTCTGCTTACACCATTACGTAGACCGGCGCAGTGATGACAACTACCCGACTGAACGGATTTTCCGGTACTCGAACGGTACCGAGTAGAAGTATCGGAGAGTAAGTTGTGTCTCAGTGAGGTGGAATATGTGAGTCAGAGCTGGAATGTACAAATTTCGAGTGCTGTGTGAGGACGGACGTTTACGTTTTTTCAAGTTAAAGACGATTGCGCTAAGAATTTCTGCTTGATTATTTCTCCTTTATCTTGAGTCACACATGGCAATGAAAAATTCTTAAATTCACTAATTCTTTGCTCTGTGAAATATATTTTGGGGGGACTTGATCAACATAAAATGCAGAATAGGTTTCTTTCCTCGCTAAGCTTACAGTCAAATGTGCGGAACATGAACTCTATCGTGGTTTCAACAAATTGACGAAGAAACAAAAACATAAATCAATCAAACTCTTGCAACATCGTGGCCCTCAGTCGCTTTCCCTTCCTCATAACATCTAACGTTTTGTGCCTTATGCGTAGGCATGTGTGTCAGTGCCTCAGACCAAAAACACATATCTGTCACCCCGGTGCGTCAAAGGATTTCGATGACGGTGGGTGGCACAACAGTTGCGAGATAACTGGTTATTAGTAAGGGTAAGGATTGGAATTTAATAACGAAAATGCTCAATATAGGAATAACATAGATACTCCATAATTCAACTTCCTAATAACCTGTTATTCTACGACCGATTATTTTGGCTCAGATTTGAACAACGTGACCATGACAGACCGCATGCGTTCACTTCCTCTTAGACAGGTTGCACCATTATGGTGCACTGGGCCAGAATTGCTTTCGTTTTGAACTGTGAAGTTCAAAATCCTATGAAAATTTCTATCCTGAGACCCCGGGGCTCGCCAACGTGAGAAACAGAAGTATTTAAAAAATTACTGTGAGAGATGAAATTATGATAACCTTCTGATCTTCCAATAATTTTTATCTATGGTTATCCATTTGCGCTTATAATATTGAAAACCGACTGTCATGTTTCAGGAGTTAGATCAATACATGTGTATTCTTCTCGTGATCAATGTACTTCCAAGGTTTTTTTGGACTCACTCAAGAGAAACACATCGCGATACTGATTACGCAAATGTTTCATCAGCTTGCTTTCAGCGGGTAGATCGCACACAAGGTTCTCTTTATTAGAACGCATATTCACGTCGATGATTTTGTACTGTCTTGATTCATCGTTCATCGCACGGACAAATTCAGTAGACTTTAGAATACCCATTTTTCGGATGGTCCCGTTCTTCTCAAGCTTCAACGGAGATAGTTGACCGGGATGACGAGGTTCGACAGGAACAAGAACCAGGAGGGAAGCGACGATGAGAGATATGGTCAGTCCATGATGGTTAGACAGTTTAGAAGCAACACTGGGAATAGAATGTACGATTACTAAGACTTTCTTGTCAAACAAATACTAAGTGTCAAACTAAAACACCACTAAAACGCCAACTAGAAAAATCATTGATTGTACATTTCCTGCCGCGAATTCACGTGCACAATTGAAAAGCGCTTAAATTGTATTCATCAAATCCTAAATATGCACTGTTTAGTTTCTCTTCATCTCTGATAATTGATGAATTTCTTTGCTTATATCCTCAAGAAGCAAAGAAGTAGGATGGGGACAACGTAGAGTCTGCTCGTGTCTGATTGTGGCACTTTATGCGATTCTAAAAGGGTTTCACGGTTTGGTCAAAAATCGATACAGAACAAGAACTCTGGGCAAAGATTGATGAACACAGTAAATGATCAACGTTCTACACGTGTATCAAATATTGGGATAAACTGTTTGTAGTTCTCCACAAAATGCTCTTCCACAAACCTCGGGGATGAGGGCGTGTAAATGTTGCGAGAAAGAAAGACTGTAGGTTGCCGATTGCATTGTACCAATTCGTAGAATCCTAAGGGGCTAAGACCTGAAGTGTTGATCGTCATACAATAATAATTAGGATGAAGGACCCAAATAACCCAGTGGATGACGTTGACGATCTTTCATCGAGGTTAATGCCATCAGGATGTCATCGAGATAGTAGTACATGTTGAAAAGTCTGCAACAGATTTCGTCAATGAAGAGGTGAAAGGTCGAGGTGGTGTTTCTCATGCAGAAAGTCACGCGCTTGAAGTTTGAAAGCTCAAATGAAGTCAGAAGTAGATTGAGGACATTATTTTCCACCACAGTAATAAACAAGCTTTACGGTTCCAGTGCTGGGTCTAGGAGAGTTGTTTATTGGGGACAATGATATGAACATAGATAAATTGGATTACATAGAACTTAACGTCTTATATGGAACAGATCAATCATAATTTTCACAAGCTAGCAATTTTATTCATGGAACAGTTTGCCGTTAGATAGGCGCTATATACTTTACAGTTTTAAACACACTTAGTCACTTCACGAGGTCTTGTTCTTTTTCTTCACTATCGTGTGAACTCAGTAGTAGAAATCTTGCATTGCTACTCGCATACGACTCACAAATGAGTCTGGCGCCTCACAGTACTAACAAACGCGACCGAAGACGTACGGCTAGGAGAAAAATTAGCAACCAGATTCGAAGTCACATTCTTTGTGTGGAGTCTGATAACTGTCTGAATCTGTGCATTTTCTAACATACCGAAATGCGTTTCGCGACACAGAAGAAGCACGGAGAACGGTCTGGGTCAGATGTTTTTCGAGTGCTGCAAAACAGTCTTCTAGATTCCTGTACTAGATAGCTATCATTAAAGGAACGGGGTCTTACAAAACCCAAATCCTTCAAAATTTTACAACGCAACTCGTGACCGAAATCTCTGAGAATCTTGAAAGGAAAAGAGCAATGTTATACTACACTTTTTAATGTATGATCATGTGACCCCTAGGTCGACTGGCGAATGGATGCAGCTATTCATACAACCCAAGTAGATATGACACTGAGAAGTTCTATGCTTATATGACATAGTGTAGTCAAATTATATCGGAATCAGTAGTCAACATACGTATGACTTCATTTTAGCCACTGTCTGCGTATCGGAGGTCTCGCTCTTCTCCGCTACGGCGAATGTTAGAGTGCAGAAGTCTGCAAAAAGCAACAGGAAAAATAACCAAAAAAGTTTACTAATACAATAACACTCAACTGGGGTCTGTGATCGATTTATGCTCAATGAACTTCGCGAACAAGGTGAAAATTCCGCACTCAGCAATCAGTCAGTCACATCAGTGGTTCAAAGAGTCCTAGTTTATTAGAATAACTCGAGAATCAGCAGTATGCTAATCCCATTTCCAATGCTGTCAACATTTAATCGCAGTTTCCAACCATTCAAAGTTCCACCTGAACGTTTCTCCTCCCCGAAACGAACACGCACATTCATCCCCATTCCCAAGTATTGACCAGGGTAATTCTGTCGGAAGTTGCATTCCCAGCGTATCGTTACGCGTCACAGAATTTGCAATGCGCGATGGCAGGTAGTGGACAGATAACTGCGCATTTCGTCGCGAGTGCTTACTGAAGAAAATGTCAACCGCTGTGGATGAGAAACCCCAAAAAATACTCAGTCACGACAGCAATGTGTAAAATGGGACTTGCTGGACAATCGCACAAGTACTTCGTAACAGATTAACCGCGGCTGAACCGAAGGTTCTTTACCCAACGGAATTCTTCAAATCAGTGTGCAACATTCAAAGTTTCGTGACTTTTGATGAACAATATTCGGGATACAAGCTTGTTTTTGGTGCCTGACGATAGTGCAAGAAAAGATAAGAAATGACGCTCGACGAAAGCCATAATATAAGGTTGATAACTGATTTAGCTTGTGTTTATGTATTTGTGTGTGTGTGCGTGTGAGCTGGTGAATGGCGGATCTGTGTATGCGGATATGAGTGAGTGGGTAAATGAATAAATCAGGGGGCGGCTCCCACCAGCAGAGTTAGATGTTTTTCTTTTGCGGTCCCTTATCTTCTGCCAGAATATCAACGACCTCAGCGAGAATTACATAGAGAAGTCAAGGAAAGCCGTCGATCCGCCTATAGCAGGAGTCAAATACTATCAGTACATACTATTTGAATTCTATAGGCTGATGCATCGACCAAAGAATAGTTAGCCATAGGATAGGACCCCTATTGGCAGATATGTTTTACGAACAATTTAGAAAGGAGATTCTTCAAAGACTGTGGTAAGCTTTACTATTGAAATCGCATTCGTGTACAAAGCTGATAAGTGATACAAATTACCGACGGAGAGGAAAATACCATTGATTGCAGAAAAAAAACAATAAATGAACGCGCGATTCCAGATGGTTTCTTCTGATGACGAATTGATAGGTCATCAGTGGGAAAAGCGGTTATCATTAAACAAAATACGGATGTTGACGGTACCTGCATTAATTAGACTGTATTTCAGAAGAGGAATGTTTTCCCCACTGATCCACAAGACTTATGGAAATTCGTCCAGCGGATTTGACTTAAGTTGAACTGACAAGGATACAAAGAAGTGCATCAGAGCGCAAATACTCGGCTCAGTTATAGCGTTCCATTACTATGGTTGTAATTCAGGGAGTAGTTCACTTTGATATGCTGTTAGAATGGAACAAATGAATGCTTACTTTATCATTAGCAGTTAAGATAAGGCCAGTTGATGAGTACCAGCTCGTATAGCGCAATAGCAATAGATACAAAAATTCAGTGGCGAATCAAGAAAGAAGAGTGATATTGATTGAGAGTGATCCGGTTTGCACAGACAGAAACATTCAGTCGGAAACAATTAGTTCGCTGTCCAATGAAAAATTATCGATCGATGGTAATAAAAGCAGTCCACCTAATCGTTTGCACCTTCTGTTGCTGCAATTTTGGTCTGTACCATTCCGCTCCCATTTTCGTGTTTCCATACCATACGAATAGGCCAAACGCTGCTTCGTGCACGCACCAGACGTACTTAAGAAAACGCCATTACACAACCAGTTAACGCGTTACATTACCGATGCCTTGTGATCATGATTCAACTATTGGGTGAATATCAAATTGTGATGAATGAAATGGCTGTGCAGGTCAGGTCCTGGAGTGAATGACACGTAAGTTGCGTATGACAAAGACACTTTCATAAGCAGACCACTTCTCCCACTAACACTATCACTTTGATTAGTCCGTAGCGACCACAAGGTGTGCATGCATCCCTTCGAGTTGGGGTGTCTACCATGGCATTTTGATCGGTGATAGTGGATGGTGGTCATATAGTGTGACCTATGTATGATGTTTTGAAGGTCCCATCTCACCTGGTCCGGTTCTTGCTCCAGTTCCTGTTCTGAAATTAGCACACATGTGAAACTAATCAGTTCAGTCTTTTTGTCACTTTGAATGAGGTCACTCTATAATGACGTCCAGTATGGCAACCTAACGTGTTTGAGAGCATACCGTTTTACTGACTCGGCGAAAGGAAGGATAACTGGTTCCGTAACTTGCAGCTCAGATGTAAGTTGTCAAACAGTATTGAGCGAACAAAAGCTGGTTGCATAAAACTTGTTATACACACTGCAAGGAGGGGTTAAGGCTTCAGAGAAGAAAACCATTTGATACTGAAAGTTGCTATTGGTAACACTATCGAAACCGAGCGATTGTATTCATTCGAAGCAATGGGATTACACCCATCCGAAAGCTGCATATGACAGGTTTTGATGAAGAAGACAGCATTGTGAAACAATCGCGACCCCCTAGGCAAAACTCCAAGGACCATCTTTCAATCGGGGAACCACGGAAGCTGGCCGATCAAACCTTCTCGCAGCAATACACGTTTATTGCAAGTATTACTTAATCCACTAGATTTGCTCGAATTAACTAACCACTATTTTCACTGCATCTCCGTATCGAGAAATTCGCCACCAGTAGATAGCCAGGGCTGTGGTGATTACCAATCCGTGATTGCTGGACCATGATGCCTGTATGGACTCGGTTTTCCCCAGTCCAATCATCTTATCAAATTGTTCAGCTTTAAAACAAGATAATGGTGACTACTGTTCGGCGTAATGATTTGAACTAATCTGAAAACTTGCCGAAAAGTGGCCCGCACTGAGCAGAGCGGAATAATCGTGCATGAAAATCGAATTCAAGGGAGATGTAATTTGGCTCACCTTCTGCGATAGGTTTCTCGTTTACTGAAAAAAAAGAAATAATTGTGTCGTAAAACTTCATGTTGTTCTTATCTGCTGCGATTGAAATGTGCTTTGCACCACACGGTTACGTTGATATCCGTGGTTTAAATTTGAAAAAATGGGTCCCGTTATTCCGTACAGAAAGAAAGCAATTGTCGCGAGATGTTAATACTTCGTCTAATCTTCTCAATGGCTGACTTTAAAAAAGGCAGGGGCATACATAACAAAAGGGAATCTTTAATTATGGTGATGTAAAATGCAACACCACGGTCGGTAAAATTGACCGTATAAACACATTTATGCCTCTGAAATCGGGTTATCTGATCGAATAAGCCTCGCTGTAGTAATTACCAAACGCTAAGCATTACGATTACCTATTCTTGGTTTGAAAGACCAAATGGAGTCAACTATGTCTTATTGTAATGATATGCTTTACAGCAGATTACACTGTATTTCTTGTAATCACTTGAGCATCAGTTATTATTTGCATCATCGATTTCACCAACCACTTAGGAACGTGCTCGGTCATCCGTTGTGAGAGCCAACGGTTTGTTCTGTATACGTCACCGCAACTGTAGGTCAACTGGTGCACACCTTGTGTGAGTGAGAAAAACGGTGCATTAGCCATCCTTAGCTGAGAACCGCTTCAAGTTTGCGATGTCTACTGAGTGAACGTTCAAAGTTTTGAATCAACAGACTCTGGTGCTCATTTTACAAATAATACATTGCAAATTAAAACGATATCTTGATGATATAGCATTGTTCCGTCATCGATAATAAGCTCCCGTGAAACGTGTGGTTAGCAAAAGTTAACTTTCCGACTCCAGCAATCGATCATTTTGTTTTCGACGTTATGATAATCCACGAAGCTTTTCTATGTCCTCTTATCCGAAGGAATCTTCATCCACAGTAAAGCCGTTTCAGCCGGGTTCAGTTGTGCGTTGAATTTGTAAAAACAGCGAGATCAAGAATATCACTGTTAATCAATGATTGGTTTATGATTTAATAATTATAGAATGCCTCATTCGATCGATCAAAACCTACTGCGGTGATCCTAGCCTACGATATGACGCAAACCACGGATAGAAACGTTATTGCTTTCAGACAAGATGAGTCAAGCTTCTCAATTGACGTCAAAAAAGTGCCCACGCCTTAGAGCTTCTGGATTACAAACCTTGGTCCGATTGTACCAACCAATCAGAAACTCTACAGCGCCAGAAATACTAGCGTGTACTTCAAAGGGACATGGATCACCAATGAAATTATTTTGTGCATATTATTTTAACCCCGTGATTTCTTTCAATAAAGGAACTGTTATTCCTCTGGTTTACGTGGGATACTGTCGTGCTAGTACCATTGTGATTCACTACTTATGTGGCGTCCGTGATTTCTGATACGTGATTCGTATTTCGTTATCAGTGTATACCACAACTATTATACTTGCCTATGGACATCCTTTCTTTGCTCTTTTTTATTCTTTAAATTCCTTTCATTGAATATACAAAGATACAGTTTTCAGGAAGAGGAAGTGGCCAATCTAAGGGCTGCTGTTCAACACACAATGGGGAAAGTTAGGCGGCGGTGGTGGTGGGAGTCGAACACACACACCGTGGGGTGATAATGTGGTGACATTATCACTAGACCATGAGGAAGTACAAAGTTGGTCAACATCCACAGGATCCAAACGCGACGTCTGCCAGCTAAGAAAAAGCGTTATGGTCGATCGTTTCATCCTGGTCCATCTACACAACCTTCTTCTTTGGAATGAGCTAACATCTCGAATCAGAAGCGTTTTTAGATTACTATTTGAATAAAACTTCAAGGAACACCAGCAACCGTAAAATATGTAATCCACATCACAGATACAAACAGTTAGCATTTTAATGGGCTCATGAAAAAATTGAAATAATCATAGACCTGAATTAAACAATGAATTTTTCCCAGTGAAAACAGTCCACTATTATGGTTTCCCTGATCCTTTATAGGTACTTCGAAATCCGTGATTCCTAACATTACTTTCGAGAAAATAATCCTTTTTTTGACCTTAGTGTAGGTTGCTGATAAGGTATAACCAAATAGATGGATAGTTCAGAATACACGACACACATACATGAAACATGAAGATCCTGTATGGAGAAAATCTTGCCCGAGGAAACCTTCTCTATAAGTCTGTAAAATTCCACCGCCTGTAGATCTTCTTCTGCCAAGTCTGAGTCCAACTCAACAACAGCTTTTAATTGCTTGTTTTGTGGATAGAATTTAATGAAACGGCATTTTTGCACGGAGCGAAGCGGAGTGTCTTGTTTGCAAATAGTGTTGAACTGAAATATGAAACATAGAATGTCGATATGTGTAGTTCACTACTCAAAAGATATGCATATATATATATATATACATATATATATATATAATGAAACTATCAAGCTATCAAGCTGATCGTGTTCATTTATTTTACGTATACAGTACAAATGGCCCAAATAATGTATTTGTTGGGTAAATCCCTTGTCACAAATAGTGCCGTAACCAATCGATATTGAACCCCCGAACTCCGAACCGGTATATGTATGATTGATATCCCTGATAATCTCTGGTTTCAGTTTTTTTCCAAACCTGTCTTTTCTCCCAACTGCTGCTTTGCTTAGTCCCGGTCCACCGTCTTCATTGCAGAAGATTTAAACTGTGAAACGCTCTCCCCATAGTCCTGTTTTCACCCCACATTGGAACATCATACCCATTAGAAGAGCTAGATTTGTCATGAGCATTACCACCGCCATTTGGTCGCTTGATTATTCTTAGACAATGGAATTGGTCACTTTACTTCTAATCTCTTTGGTTGCATAATAACTTTCGGCCATATTATAGTTGTTGTACAGCTTGTTAAACAAAATTAAAAGTTAACTGAGTGAAGTGTTTCAAAGTGACAACAAGGGTCAGGTAAAGTTAAGTATGTGCACATAACACATACAACCACTGTGCACGAAATAAGCTGCAGTCGACCGGCGACTGCCTTGGAGCGGTTGCCTCATTCAACACACATTCGACCGGATCAATGGTAATGTCATGCTTGCGTCAACGAAAACAAGCAACCTCAAATCACACGTTCACCATGGACTCACATTATCGCAAAGACTTTTTGCAGATTCGAATTCATATTTTCCTAATTCATGTATGTATTCGTTTTTAAATCGCACGATTTTGCCTTCTTCCAGAAGGAATCCGTCAAAACGAATGACTGTAAGAAATCATTAGCCAGAAGCATGTTACCGAATATCGAAAATCGATAGGATGTAGAAAACAACGAACGCAATGTTATATGGCCTCTTTTTCGTGATACAATGAATAACTGCTGAAGAATACTGATAAGGCAGTTCATATTGTCATCAAAGAACACCGTGTACTCAAGAACAGTGCTGCAATCGTTTACAACGAAGTTGTTAGTACAGAAATTCATTATTGCCCAATCGTATGCTACATCCATCTTTCAAAATCCTGATTCGTGGTTTATCTGCTCTAAGGCTAGAGTACACGAATGCACGGGGTTCATATATTGCACTGTTTATTGCACTGAAGCTTTCTGTATGCAGGGGCATCGGGCATACCCTGGCGCGATGCGTTATAGTTTTAGGACAGCTGTGATCAATCAAACTTCACGGGTGACGTCAGCAGAGCGCGTACGGGTCACTGCTTCTGAACCAGATACCATAGGTAGACTGTACCAGCCAATCAGAGACTNAGACTGTGCGTTTCAGACAGAAGCAGAACGACGGCAGAAATACTGGAACACGATTGGCAGACCCCCGGATGGCCAATGAGTTTCTTTGTACAAATTATTTAAACCCGTTACTTTCAATAAACGAACTACTTATCTCGTGGCCTTTTCCTTGCATCTCGGTTGCGTAAGAAATTGTGTACAGGCGCCAGTGCAGTCCAGTGCTTACGTGATCCAGTCTGTGATTGTTAATTCTTGATTCGTATTCCGTGTTTCTTATTGCGTGGTTCGTATTGCGAGT